AAAGAGAATAAAAAAACTGTTAAGGTATTAAAATACAAAGCATTTTCCTTTTTCTGTAATATCTCCCTTAACTTGCTGTGCTGTTTTTTAAATTTTATTTATTTATTTATTTTTTGTCTTTTTCCTTTTTATTGGTACCAGGGATCGAACTCATGACTGCCTGCTTGCAAGGCAGGTGCTTATGCCGCTGAGCTAAATCCCCAGCCCCTTAAATTTTATTTTTAATGTCATTGAAAGTAAAGAAAAATGAAAAATTTACATTATTGATATGAATTTTGTAATTCATCTTAATACTGTACAAAGCTGTTTTTAAATACAAATATAGAGCATTTCATTCATGTGAAGTTATCAAAGTGACACTTAGTGTGCCATGGTTCATATAGATGTCTACAATACATTCCTCCGAGAATAGCAGAAATACTGCACACAAATAACTCAATCATTTTATTTTATTTTTGACATCTTTATTCTAACAATGCTCTCTATTTTTGGGAGTTGATGACTAAGGAAAGTCTAGAAGGAAAAGAAGATAAAGATGGCCCTATTTTTCCTCTTTCTGTGCTGTTAGCATGATCCGTGTGAGTAGGAGCCTGACACTGGGGAATGAGTGAGAATGGGTGTGATATTTCCTTATTTTTCAGCATGTTATTGTCTTCTTTCTGTGCTTACAATAGATCCTGGTTCCAGTCAGAAATGTGGACACTTGGGTTGTCAGTGCCCTTCTGCTCCTCATAGATTTAGCACATTTTCCTAGTTTTAACCCTGAGTCACACTACACTTCTGCATGCCATGTGTCATCAGGAATTCTGTATCAGGGAGTATTGTGAGTAATCTGCAGTGACAGAGGTGGCAAGCAATGATGACTTCCCTTATAAAAACAGGGATTAAAATATTAAGACAGCAATAGAGCATTAGACTAAGTACGGGGCCTTTCTGGGTTCAGAGACCTGGCAACCGCACAGGCTGGATGCCCATGAAGCCAGACAGCTCTGGGGAACTGAGCCAGGAGTGAACTCATATCTGATGCCCAGGACAAACCTCTCAAAATGTCACACATTAGAGAAGAACCTTCTCTAATAATGCAGAGGAATGTATTGGCACAGCGATCAAGGAATGTCAAGAAGATGAGAAACCTTTAAGAGTATAATTTTTAAATTTTTTGGTTCTGAGGATCCAACTCACAACCTAGCACTCGCTAGGCAGGCGCTTATGGTGCTGAGCTAAGTCGCCGGCCCTAAGAGTATAAAATAAGTAACACTGAACAAGTGCCTTCTGGTTCTGTGATAGTTGAGACTATGGTCTGAGTGTGTGTGACCCCTAAAATTTTTATGTTGAATCCTAATCACCAAAGTAATAGCATATACAGAATTCTGGATGGATAGTCCTTTTCTTTTAGCACTTTGAATACAACATAGCACTACCTTGTGGCCTTGGTTTCTGGTAAGTTGACTGCTTGTTTTCTTTCTTTATTTCCCCAGATCCTTGATTACATGAGGTGCTACTTTTCTGTTGCTATTTTCAAGATTTTTCTCTAAGTGTTTGGCACTTGATGATATCATTGTGATGTACCCCTGTGTGGTCTCTTTTAGTTGATCACACTGGGAGCAGTGGCATGGCTGGAGTTTGTTCAGCTCAGGGCGGTCCTTCAATGAGAGGCAATTGTGGAAACCACTACACACAATTCTTGTGTAAACAGTCATGCAGCTAGAGATGCTGCTTAACAAGGAACCTCAGTTTAATAATAAAGCTTGTTCAAGAGAACCATAAATTATCATATGAATTTCCTTTTGCCCTGCCCACCCCCGATTTAAAGTTTATTGATGTTTTTGAAGGTGTAGTTTAAGAGTTTCATCACCTTTGGAAATTGACTTTAGATCATTATTTCTTTAAAAAATTTCTGCCCAAAGGCCTATATTGTCATTGTTTTGGGCTCTTTGCTATTGTTATTTGTCTTTTTTGTTTCTTGTTTTTCTAGTAAATTATTTTGTTTTGTTGTGTTTTTCCCTCTAATGCAGAAAGGATTGATGCACCTGAAGAGGCTTATACATGCCTATAATTTCTCCTAAACGGTTTACGAGAATTGATTGTATTATGCATGATCATACGAATAGCTACATTGAAGAAAAAGTCATTATAGTATCCATTGCTGATTTCCTATCATGTTGTGAAATCTAGTAATGCTTTTATTCTTTGTTTAGAGTGGTTTTAGTCTGTTTTGTATTTTTTAATTTCAACATACATAAAGGTACGGACAACTATTTTGAAGAGAACAAGAGACATTATGGTAGCCATTGTTGATTTTCCTATTGTCTGTTTTTGAAAGCCAGTAATACTTTTATTATTCTGTTTTGATCAGTTTTATGCAATTTTGTTTTGTATGAATTCATTGTGTGTGAAGATATAGACAACTATTTAGATAAAGCAGGAGACACGATGGCAGCCACTGCTGATCTCCTATCGTCTTGCTTTGAAATCCTGTGTCACTTACATTGTTTTCTTCTGATCTGCTTTGTTCTGTTTTGCTCTGTTTTGTTTTACCCTCTTAAAAAAAAATCATTAGGCAGACATTAAAGAAAAATTTTTTCCCTGCCCTTTCTCCCCTCCTTTCCTTCTGGAACCCTCTTTACGCATATATTGGTGTGTGTGATGGTGTGTCAGAGGTCTCCCTTTCTGCATATGCCGGTACAGTTATGGTCTTCCAAATGGCATGCAGAGATTTCATTTTTCTTTTTTTCCTTTTTTCTTCTCAGTCATATCATCTCAATTAATCTGTCGGTAAGATTCCCAATTGTTTCTTCTGTACTCTCAAATCTACTCTTGAATGTCTCTGGTGAATGTTTCATTTCAGGTTTCCTAGTATTCACCTGCATCATTCTTATGATTCTACATCATTCTTATTTATAATTTCACCTCTGTTGATATTGCTCCTTTAGTGAGATAGTATTCTTTTATTCATTTTCTTTTTTACTAGTGATTGAAGCAAGGATGTTCATAGTGAGGTACACTCCCAGACTCCCCCCTTTAAAAAAATTTTTATTTTAGACAGAATTGCTAAGTTGCCACGGTTGGGCTAGAACCTGGATCCTCCTGCCTCAGACTCCAAGAGTGCTGGGTTTACAGACATTATTCTTATATAGTTTTTGAGTTCTTTAATTATATTTGTGATATGCAATATAGAAATCCCATTGCCTACGCACCTTCAGGCAGTTTTTTGTGGCTATATTCTTTTGGTATGGGCCACGCTTTGCTGCTTTGTTTCCTATCTTGTAATTTTTTTTGTTCTAAACTGAGCATTAATAATACATAGGGAAAGTCTGAAAAATTTGATCAATAAGTTAGGTTTGAAGCTTAATTTTAATAAATCCTATTTTATATATTGGTAACAATTCAATTTAAATTTGTCTATTTACTTTGCAGTTAGGGTATCAAACCGAGGTCCTTACACATACATGGAAAGTGCTGTATTACTGAGCTACCCTCCTACGCTTTTTTGTTTATTTTAAGATGTGGTCACATTCACTTCCCCACGTTGGTCTCAAACTTGTTATCTTGCTGCCTTGGTCTCCTAAGTAGCTGGGATTTTGTTTTCTTTCATAACAAACTTTAGCAGCAGTATCCTAAAAGGCCAGAATGTTTTTCCATGAAGTTTGCCTTTCAAGACTTTGAAATAAGATACAATGGTCCTCATTTAATAGAATAAGAATTAGTGATTTATTCCATTGGAAAACATGAAAAAGCAATTGTGTGAAGATGTTTCCCAAAATGTAACTTTTAAAATTAGTATTCATTTGGAAATGTATTTAGTGTATCTTCAGCTGGTTTCCTTATAAGAATTGCACTGCTGCTTCTCACAAGTCTTGTCAACATTCTCCTCTGGCAACATGCTTCTTCTGTTTCTGGTCCATCTCACATCTCTCATTTCTATTTCTTTTATCTATCATACATGAATTTTTGGTTGGCTTATGTTTCCAAGTCTTATCTGTAGTTCATTTGTATCATTTATAAAATAAGAGCTAAGTGGGCTGGGATTTAGCTCAGTGGCATGAGTGCCTGCCTGGCAAGTGCGAGGTCGTGAGTTGAATCTACTCAGTCCACCTAAAAGAGTTGTTGAAAGTTTCAAGTAATATTTGTTAGATGTCCAGACGAGCATAAACTAGTTCTGCTGCTTCCTAGTTTCATTTCTTTGATATTTTTCCCTTTCAGATTGAGATTGCTAACAAGAAGATGCATCCTGGTTGTTTCCTACTAGTTACTATAATTTCAGCATTTCATTTGCCGTGCAATTGTTGCTGCAGTGTATCATATGGGATGGGGTCTGAAGTTTTAAATGGCAGTTACGTTTCAAATGTTGACAATTTTTTGAAGAATTGTATTCTTTCATCAATTCTTCAAAAAGGTTTTTTTCAAACTTGAAACCATTTACATGAAATCAGAATTGCCAAAATATAACTCCAATATAAACCAGCATAAATAAAAAAATTGCCATGGGAAAATCTTCATCAAAAATGTAAAGATCCCACAATTTTTTGATAAACTGGCCTGCCATTCCTGTTCATCATTTGACAGAATTAGCAAGGTGGCCATTCAGCAGTTGACCACTGGATAAGCTGGCTCTTTGGTGGCTTGGCTTTCTGTGGTTGGCATTCTTCAGACTGACCTGCTTGCCTGGATAAGGGAAGCATGCTGGTGGCAAGGAAAATATGTACAGCATCTACACAGAAATGTTGTCTAAATTGTTTAGAAGCAGAGGTGACATATCGCTTGCACAGTTAAAAAAAGCACAAAACAAGATATTTGAGACCAGTGTGTGAAGGAAATAGGACACAAGAGTTGGAAAGATGACATAAAGCTGGAGATGAAAAGTAGCAAAACAAACGCACCTCATGAATTTCTGCTCACATATTGCTTGTTACAGGCAATAAAAACAGTACTAAACATGACTTTATCTTAATTAGAATTAGATTCTACTATATGTAACAGACCATTGAAATAACAGTTGCTTAAATGAAACAAGCATTTATTTCCCTCTCACATAAAAGAAATCCAGGGGTGAGCAGTCAGAGGCTGGAACAGATCTTCTACACATTATCGGGCAGGGCTAATTCTTTGTTCCACTATCCTGGTACCTAGCAGATTGCAGTCCAGGAGGTTGCTGAAGCACCAACCAGCATTTCTGAGCCGAGGGCTGAAAACAGAAAGCAAAAACCAGACACTTGTCCATTGAATTGACTCTAAGTGGGTAGCATTCCTGCATGACTCATGCAATTCGGATTTTCTTGGGGTTTAGGGTTTTGGCTATAACTAAATTCAAGAGAAACTGGGAAACATTTTGTTTTGATAAGAAGAAGGAGAAAAAGAATGAATGCTGTATTTGTTATCAGTCTATTCTTTTATTCTCCTTTTTCATTTAGTATTCACAAATATTTCTTATCAACTGTTAGAAACGTTGTATTAAACGCTAGCAGAATGTTTTTTTTTCAGGAGGAGGAGTGTATTATTTTTTATTAGAAGGCAGATTTCATTAGGGAAATATATTAAAATATTTCATTTTAAGATCTTAAACATGCATGCTTGTAATCCTAGCACTTGGGAGGCTGAGGTAGGAGTGCTGCAAGTTTGAGTTCTTTGGGCGACTCAGTGAGAGCTTATTTCAAAATAAAAAGGGTTGAGCATGGAGCTCATTGTGAGCTTCATCCCCAGTGCTGCAAAAAAAAAATCTACATTTATTGCTAACATGTAACAGACATTTTATCTGACATTGGTGTCAGGGATGAGTGGGAGAATTGGCAGATAGTCAGTGAAAATGTGAGCACCAGAAGCCAGCCAACCGAGGGCAGGTTGTCATTCCAACTTTGGCCAAGCACAGTCTGGTAGTACAGAATGATTCTCATTTGGGGCAAGAAGGATATTTATAAATATCCATTTCCATTCAGCTTTCTCCTTATACAGTATAATTTGAAAGGTCTTCACTATTTCCCGACCCTCACACTCCCCACAACATGCTTAAATACCTTGTGCATTGAAATGAAGTGAAATGATTTTACCCTGAGAGCTCTCAGCCACAGAGGCACACCCTTACCTACTTACTTAGAGTCCTGTGGTTTTGATGTAAGAAATTGTTCCTTCTAATTGAGTCCTATAGCACTGTTGTTGATGACAGGGAATTGGTCTTCATAGACTTGCAACATCAGCACATCAGCAACACACAGACCTACAAGAGGCGACAGTGTGAGTACACACCAGTGTATTCAGACGCGTGCATTTCCGTTACTTCATGGATAGACAAAATATCATACACTGACTTTCCTTTTTCCTCCTTGTATTGCTCATTGTTCCTGAAAGTTCTATTTTGTGGCCATTATTTCCTTAATGGGTTGGTATTGGAGACTTAATCATAGGACAGTCACTGTTCCAGCCAATGAAATGCAACAGTGAACAGGACAGACAAAATTGCTGCCTCCCTTCCAGTGAGGGAGACGTAAACGAAGATGTGATAAAATGTCAGGAAGAGAGTCATCGTATGAGGCATTAGGGAAGGTAACAGGAGAGAGAAGATGACAATGGACAGATAGATGGCCTTTTATGTCGGCTCATCTTAGAAGGTCTTGATGTACGTGAAAGAGCTAAGTTGGGGGGATACCTGAGAGATAAAACTTTGTCTCGAACATTCAAATAATGGCCATTAATAAAGAGTTTTGAAAATGATTATTTGTGAACTTAAAAACTTTTTAGTATAAAAAGCTTCAAATCTACACAAATAGAGAGGATGGTATAAGAACTCCCATTACCCAGCTCTATGATTACTGACTCATGGCTAATTTTATTTCCTGTACGCTTCCCTCTCGTCACATTTCCTGGATTATTTTAAAATAAACCTGGCATCACACTATTTCCTTTGTAAATATTTGAGTATATGTGTCTCAAGAAACAATTTTTCACTTTAAACATAACTACAATCTCATTATCATAGCCCCCAAAACCAATGATTTCTTAATATCATCAAATATCTATTGGTAATCATATGTCCTCCAGTAGTTTGTGACATTTTATTTTGTTCATGGTTCTGTGTTTGTGTCTTGTTTTGTTTGAGACATAGTCTCGTTAGATAACTCCAGGTGGCCTTGAATTTACTGTGTAGCCCACACTGGCCTCCAACTCACAGAAATCTTCCTGCTTCAGCCTCCTTAGTCCTGAGATTACATGCTTGTGCCACCATGCCTAGCTGTGACATTTTAAAATAAAATGAAAGACAAAAACAATCTCTGCTAGCTGTAGAATAATTTTTTTCACTTAGAATAATTATGTCACTAAACTGAAAATATAATTTATTTACTGACAATCTTTGTTTTAAAGATCGTCTGTTCTGCTGTAGACCTGAATATTAATTAGTTCCTAATGATTAAAAAGGAATGATAGAAATATATCCCACTGATTTTTATATGATTTTTTGCATCACTAATATTTCATACTCCTACATAATTGCAACTGAACTTAAAATATACTACTCACCTGAATGTAGCCAGCAAATAAGAAGGGGGTGCTATTTCACTGAAGCCCCTTTACATTCTTCCTTCTGGCTCAGTTTGGCTACTGATGTCAGACCTCTGTGCATTTTGTTTCCTATATAACTCAGTAGCCTCTGCCTTCGCGCTTTCTTACAGCTCCTTCAGTTATGCCACCCTTAGTCTTAATTAAAAAAAGGATCTAGGGGCCTGGGGATTTAGCTCAGTGGCATAAGCACCTGCCTTGCAAGCAGGCGGTCGTGAGTTCAATCCCCAGTACCGATAAAAAAGAAAAAGACCAAAAAAAAGTATCTGTATGGAATGTCTTCTGCTGAAATTAACATTTTTAGAAAAACTTCACCATGACTCTGGCTCTGTGGTTGTTAGTGCTGCAGTTACAAAGCTTCACTGTTGGTTAAGTAGTGCGACCTAATGCTATCTTATAATAGCAAAAAGCTACTTAATTACTACAGAACTCATTTAAATGGGAAAACATATTAAACTGTGAAAATCAAATATATATTTTTAAGAAATGGTACTCTGATCCATAATTGCTGCTCACCAAGTTGGTGTGTAAAAACACTGAATAAAAAAATTTTAAAGACATCGATATTTCATTTTTAACCTAGATTATAATAAGAGCTTCAAATATGCATACCCTAAAGTCCTGAGTGAACTGTCAATAAAATTATAGCTATATTACAATAAACAAACTATTCCCAGATTCAAAATAATGTATCACACCAGTTTCTTACCTTTATCTGAAATGCCAACACCTTGAATTTCCCATGTGGTTTGGAAATCAGGTACTGTCAACTCCATCTGATGCCTGGAAGATATATTATTTCATAGTCATCTAACACAGGTGAGCCTTAATTAATTTGGGTCCAAATAGTCTGATTAACAGATATGGGGTCAAATATGGGGTTCTGAGGCAAAGGACAAGGAAACTAACTTAAATCAGGGACTCTGACTGGGGCTGAGGCAACAAAAATTTAGAAGATCAGAGCATGAGAGAGAATTTTACACATTTTAACAATTGCCTATGCATTGTATTAAATTAAATATATGAAATTTGTATGTATATAGATAAAAATATAGATAAAATGTTAATATAGAGCACAAATAGATCTATATGATCCAACCTAATACATACTTCCATGTTTTATATTCCGTGTTCATTGATCTTCTCCACAGTCAGGATTTCAAAAGGATTATATCATCAAATGTCAACTAAATATTTAATTACATTCAGTGAACTCTACTAAGAAAAATAGTGTATAAAAATGGATGAAATAAAAAGAATTTTCAAAAATTAAAAGTCTATTAGTTAATTATATGCCCTACGGACATTTCCTAACTTGTACATGATGACTTTTTAGAACCAAATAGGATAAATAGCAAAGGGTTTCCCTTCCACGAAGTTACTAGAGCAGTGGGAACTTGTAAACAATCATAAAGGTTAATACGGACTTCAGCAGAAGCCTGTAGAAACTACAGTATGAATGCAGACAAGTTATGTATGCAATTCTTTGGAGGCCACGTGTTGGAGAACCTACATCTGAATTGGGCTGTTAGATGTGAAGTACCGTTTGTGAAGTGTGTGGGGCTAAGAAAGCATTTCCAAAAGGAGCGTGTGTACTGAGAGGGAAAGTGGACAATGACAGTAAAGAACGGGCAGCTGGGAGGGGAAGCTGGAGCTGTTGGATGAGGCCTGTTATTCTATGATGACTTTCCTGGTAGGACAGAGTCTTTTAAGGTAGGGAAACAGGATGATCAGACTGGGATTCCCATATAATCACCTAGGCAGCTGTGCTTGGAAAATGAATTGGAGTAGAAAAGTGGATAAAGCTGGAGTCATGCGGTATAAAGAACACTGCTGAACACCAAGGAAGGTATACTAACTGAACAAAACAAATCATCCCCCAAGCTTCATGGGTTGTCTGTGTTTTATAGTATGTGTTTATTGTATGGGGAAATTATCAACTCTTTTCATTTGTTATATGGAAAAATAGTACTGAAAATGCATGTCTAACTGGGCAATGTATATTCTTAGAGAGTTTGGTACAAAGAAGTTTTTGAAAAAGATCTCTCCCAAACTACATGCTTAGTTGAAATTCAAGGTAAGTTACGTAACATTCTTCTGCAAAGATCCTTCATTCAGTAATTAATTAGGTAGGAGGGAAAAAAAAAACCAATCCAATCAAATAAACTTGGATCAAACTCAGTCCTATCCTTACTGATCAAATAACTTTTAGGAAGAGCAACAGGCTGTGTGCTCATCATGTCTGAATATTTGTCAAAATTTTCTCAAAGAAAATACAGATGAAAACTTTGAAATACCTTTTAGGAACATGATGTACTTCCCACAACCAGTTTTCTGAAACAGTTCTTCTTGGAACTTGGACTGACAGTGTGGGAATTTTTGGAAGTTCTAAATTATTAAAAGGATAAAAACACAGGTTAAACATGACATACAATAGAGTTATATGGTAATGCAAGATGTTTTAACTTTTAATTAATTTTTGGAGTTTGTAGGAGTGTTGTTTTTCCTTTCTTTTGTTTCTTTATCATTCTTTTTTCTTCAATTTTTCTTTTTTCTCCATTTTTTTATTTGTTCTTTTCTGCTACCTTTGTCTAGTTCTACTAATTTTCTTTTACTTCTTATTAGGATCCTTTAACTCAATTTTCACTCCTTTTCACCTTCCATTGCTAATTTTAAAAATTTTATTCTTTCATTCTCCTATTCTTCACCCACTCTATCTTTACTAGTATAACAATTAAGATTTATTAATCTTAGATAGTTAACTATAAGCTATTACTGTTGAATTCCTTTCTACTGATCATGGAAGTATAGTTGTCACATGTAGTGGGTATTTACTGTATGTAATATCTGTTTGTCTTAGTGTTTACATTGTAATTGTAGAACTCTTAGATGAAGGGTGGTACATTATTGGTTGTCATAGTACATTAATATCTAGTTTGTCTTCGAAGCTTTTATTGTTGCTGATTTAACTGCCATTACTAGAGGAAATGGTGTTGCTGTTAATAGGTTTTCTCTGTGAGCCAAAATCTGGACTGTCTGTGTCATTAGCAATACTAATGCAGTCCAGTGTCAGAGAACAGGGTGCCAATTACACTATATCTTCTCTTCCCGTGTTATCAGAGGTGACCAGATCTTGGCATAGGAACAAAAGCCTACAGTTAGCCACATCAAGAATGCATCACTGAGAAGCAAACACTAGCTAAAAATTTCCTCATACTAAAAATAAAGTTGTTGTACTGTAAATTCTCAAAAACCTCAGTGCATGCATGCACACAACATACAATAGAATAGAACAGAACAGAACAAAACAAAAAGAAATAGAAAAAAAGTGACAAACTCCCAACTGCCCCAAAGTTATCCATGGAGCATCAAGAGGAAGAAAATCAAATCCATATAATTGAATCATACAACATGAAAACAGGAGACAAAGAAATAGTTCACTAAGGTGCTTGGCAAGCTCAAAGGTGATAAAACTAAACAGACAATGGATTAATAAACAAAATGATTACACATTTACAGAAAACAGTAATGAAAAGCAGAGTGAGCTAAACCAAATGACAAAAAAAGGAATGATTAGCAAAGAATTAGAGTCCATGAAATGATATGAAACAGAAAAATATAGATCCAACAGCTGCAAGATAACCTAAAGGAAACTAATTCAAGATTAACTGGAAATAGTGAAAAATCAGAAAACAGCACAGATGGCATGAAAAGCCTGTTTACAGAAATAATGGCAGAAAACTTTCCAAATAAAGGGAAAGAATTTAACATGCAGACAAGTGAGGTAAATAAAAACCCAAGTAACTATGATCAGAAAATAATTCTTCATGACAGGTAGCAGTAAAAAAAAAATCCCAGCAGTCCAATATTGAAAGGGGATCCTAAAAGCTATTAGAGAAAAGCAATCAGAAATAGGGGCTGGAGGTTTAGCTCAGCGGCACAATCACCTGCCTTGCAAGCAGGCAGTCATGAGTTCGATCCCTGGTAGCAATAAAAAGGAAAAAGACACACACACACACACACACACACACACACACACACACACACAAAAAAAAAAAAAAAAGAAAAGAAAAGCAATCAGAAAAGCAACAAATCACTCATAAAAGTAAATTCACTAGAATTATAGCAGATTTCTCAACAAAAACCTGAAGATCCAGGAGAGCTTGAAATAAAATGTTTCAGGCCTTGAAAGAAAAATGACTTCTGGCCCAGACACATAAATACAGCAAGATTTTCTTTAAAAATTGATGAAAAATAAGGTACTTGCATGACAGAGGGCATCTAAAGAAATTCATGACTGCCAAGCTAGCAAAATACAAACTTCTCAAGGAAATCCTAGAAAGAGCAATGAAGTGAACAACACCAAAAAGTCTAATAGAAGACAGGGTCAGCAGTTAAGGAACAAAAAAGGGAAATAAGCAACAGGAAAATAATTCAAAGGAAAAAATAAGTGAGAGTTGATACCTCTCAGTGATAACATTCATGTGAATTGTCTGGGTTACCCCAATTAAAAGACAGATGTGTAGAATGCATCAAGAAACAAAATCCAACAATGTGCTATTTATAAGAAACACGTTTAATCCTAAAAGGAATGCAAAAACTAAAAAAATCAAATAATGGGAAACAATATTTCATGTAATAGGAACCTGGAAGCAAGCAAAAGAAGCTATCTTACTTTTAGACAAAGTGGACTTCAAGCCAAAACTGATCAGAAGAGATAAAGATGGTCACTATATATTGAGTAAGAGAACAATTTAACTGGAACTGGTAACAATTATAAACATATATACATCAAATGCAGCATACCCATTTAGGAACCAAACATTGTTGGACATTGTTGTAGTCCAGGGTTGTGAGGAGAAGAGCTAGAATCAGGACACAGAGTTTATATTATTATTTTATGACGGTCACCCAGAGTTTAATACAAGAAAGTGCAGGAAATCTGTCCACAACAGTAAAGACTCAGAATATTCAGCCAAGAGCCTGGATCCCACAGCAATGTCCTACATGGTCCAGATAAAAACCTAATGCCCAAGACAATGCTTCCCATGAGTCCAACTGGGGTTCTAGAGCCCACAGGAAGCACTCACACCAGTCTGTTTTACGGATCCATGCTGGGAAGGCCCAAAGGTCAGCGGTGGAAGTAGAAAGTCTGTGCCAGTGAGATGAAGGAGCTGTGCTGGTAGGTCGAGGGTTCTACACTGGAGCCAAGAAGTTATGCTCAAAGTAAGAACCAGGGCTGCCCTTAAAAGCATCACAGCCATCCTCAGTTACATAGAGGTCCCGAGCTCCTCCCATGATAAGAATAGTTGAGGACATGCCAGAAAGCCAGCGTGATGAGTTTGTCCTGGAGATTAAGTGGCACACGTCTTCCCCTCTGCATCCAGGAAGCTATGCTTGATGTAAGGACCAGATCTCCCCCAAAATGAACCACAGCTACTCTCACCAACAAGGTCCCGAGTTCCTCCTAAGACAATGGTCAAACTCACACTGGGGAAGCTAGTCATGACGAACTCCTCCAGGAACAAACAGCTCAAACAGCAACACTTAGAGAAACCTACAACACCTCACTTTTCCTTTTCCACGTCTCTATTTATGCTGGCAACTTTCCTCAGGTGGACCATCTACGCTCAGCACTGTACTGATTTAATTCAGCTGGTGTTAAGTTGACCATCAGTTTTTAATCCATACCAGACACAAAAGATCAGATAAAATACAACACAGTTATAGTGGGAGACCTCAGTATCCCACTATCAAAAATAGATCAACCAGACAAAAATATCAACAAACACATATCAGAGTTGAACAAAACTTTCAAACAAATGGACTTAATAGATGTCTACAGTGTGTCCCACTCAACAACAGAAAACACATTCTTCTTAGAAGCATATGGAATGTTCTCCACAATAAACCATATAGGATACCATAAGCCATGCTTAAGTAAATGCAAAAAAATGAAAATTATTCTTTACATATTACCAGATCAAAGCACAGTAACAGAGAAATCAATGACCAAAGAAGCCACAGAAATTATGCAAATACAAGGAAATTAAGCAATATTGTTTTGAATAATCAATGAGTCACAGAAGTAACCAAGGGAGTTCCTAAAATCAAACAGCACTACCAGTACAACATTCCAGAAATTATAAGACATAGAAAGCAGTTTTAAGAGGGAATATCCACAACAGGAAGACAGAACGAGCACAAATAGACAATCCAATGATACACCTCAAGGTCCTCCCAAAATAATCCAAATCCAAAGCCAGTACAAGGAAGAAAATTATAAAGATCAGAACAGAAATTAATGAAATTGAGACAAAAAATAAAACCAATTAAAATGAACAATGAATCCCAAAGCTGACACTTCAAAAAAATGAATGAAATAGACAAATGCTTAGCCAATCTTATCAAAAAAGAAAAGAGAAGACCTAAGTCAGTGTAATTAGAAATAAAGAGGTGAAATCACAATGCACATTGCCAAAATCTAAAAGAATATTAATGACTGCTTTTAAAGGCTGTACTCCAATACATTGGAGAACTCAGAAGAAGTGGAAGGACTTCTAGACTCTATGAATTTCAGTAGAAACTGAACCCAGAAATATAAACAACCTGAATATTCCAATAACAGCCAATGAAATTAAAACAATAATTTTTAAAAAAACCCTGCCAACTAAGAAAAGTCCAGGATGCAATGGATTCACTGCTGAAATCTATAAGAACTTTAGGGGAGATCTAATGCCAATGTTCCTCAAAATCTTTAATAAAATTGAAAAGGAAGGAATACTTTCAACATTATTCCTGGAAGCTAACATTACCATTATTCCAACAACAATTAAAAAAAAAAAGAATTACATGCCAATTTCTTTAATGATCATGAATGCAAAAGTTCCCAACCAGATACAATACTGGCAAACAGAATACAACAAATTATCAAAATGATCATACATCTTGACCAAGCAGGCTTTCTCCTAGGGATGCAAGGGTGTTTCAGTATCGTGGGGAGCAGCTGAAGCTGGTGAGTCATCACATATGTGTGACTGGAGGCAAGATAGTCCTGAGAACAAAGAGTGCCTGAGATGAGCTACGCAAACAAATTGCTGTATCCTCAAACATCGCAAAGCACCCTGAGGCTGCCCTGTGAACAGGTTGCTAGGCAGAGGGGAGCCACGTGACGTCACCGTGCTGAGTGTATCTATAAATAAACATGCTGTAGTCATTGAGTGTGGGAAGCCCTGTAGTTGGCTTCCACCTTATATCTGTAGGCAGTACCATCTTAACCCCCTCTAGGAGTTAAATTTGGTAGTTAAGCAGCTCCTTGCCTAGCCTGTTTGGCCCATTAAGGAATTATGCTAATCAGCCTACACAGCGGGAAATTTGAAAATTTGAATTAACCTATAATCCTGGGTCTTGCCACTGTTGCTAAGTTACCTGCTGATGTCTCAGCACAACTCCCTCCTCCCCCAATACCCTATATATTTGTTACTCTTTCCTTGAATAATGGAGACTTGATCAGATTTCTGACTTGTCTCCATTTTTCGCATCTCTTGTCCCCTTTCATCTCCACTCCCTCTCTAGGTTCTCTGTGGACTTACCAGCAGGCCGGGACAATTGAGCAGTTCCTTTTCTCCTCTCCAGAAAAGGGGCTCTACCTGACCTCAGCTTTCTGTTTTTTGACTCTTACCTTTATTTCTCCATCCTCCCATCACCACCTCCACCCCGGCCCCAGGAACTTGAAAAGCTGTGCTGGATGCAGCACAATATATGCAATCAACCAATGTAATTCACCATATAACAAGAAAGCTTTTGACAAAATCCAACACCCATTAATGAAAAAAAATCTTTGAAGAAAATAGATATAGGACCCTAACTCAAAATGATAAAAGATGTTTATTACAAACCAATGGGCAATATCATATTAAGCGAGGAAAAAATAAAAGATTTCCCTCTAAATCATGAAAACAAGGTTGTCCACTATTATCACTCCTGTTCAACATAGTACAGAATTTGAAATATTAGCCAAAGCAATCTGGCAAGAGAAAGAAGTAAAAGGGGCACATATAGGAAAGAAAGAAGTCAAATCATCATTTTTTGCACATGCCATGATATTTTAAATAAAATTTCCAAAAAATTCCACCTAAAGACTTCTGTAGCTCAGTGGCATATGTGCCTGCCTGACAAGTGTGAGGTCATGGTACCTCACACTTGGTACCCTGGTACCAAAAGAAAAATCTCTTAACTGTGGATGTGGTGGCACATACCTGTGATGTCAGCACTCTGGAGGCTGAGACAGGAGGATCTCTGTGAGTTTGAGACAAACCTGGAGGGATACTCTGTCCCTACCCAAAAAATAGCTAAATTCAGTAATGTAGCAGGATACAAAATCAACACAGAAAAATCAATAGTGTACCTGTATACTAGTAATGAGAAAGAAATTAAGAAAATAGTATCATTCACGATAGCATATAGAAAAATTAAGCACTTAGGAATTTACTTAACCCATGAAGTGGAAGACCTGTACAATAAAAATGACAGTACTCTGAAAAAGGACATTGAAAGAGGCATTATAAAATGGAAAGATATCCCCTGATTCTGGATTATACAGAGCCAATATTGTAAAAATAGCCATACTTCCAAAACTGGCGTTTTTTTCAACCTGCAGTTTAAATTATTTTCATTTTTTAAACAATAATGAGAATATATACATTCATAAATTATGGGAAGAGTTTCCTACACTAACAGTATTATTGAGGAATTAAAATAAATTTTATATTTTGAAACATTTTTCAGATATGATTACTTTTATATGGAAAGGCATAAGAAAGTTATTAGGTATTTTTAATAAGTAATTTACTTTTTGAGTACAATTTTCATCTAAAATTGCAATATTTTTCATAATTATCCGCTCAGTTAATTGCTGTGCTGTTAAGTAACATAAATAGAACACAAATAAAATCAAAGAAGGTAGATTTAAATGTAGGTCAGCAAAATTAAACACATTTTAAATAAGTTTTATTCATCTTTCGTGTACAAGCTATGTGAAAATCAAGTATAGGAAATCCCTTTTACATATGCTAATTGGAATTTTCTTTACTTGTAAAACCTCTCGTTACCCTTGATTTAGGATGAATTAAGCATAATAGTTCGATTCTTAAAAGTAAACTATTGTTTGTAGGCAAGAATATAAGCATCACACTATGTGTGATCAGTGAAGTCTGTACGAATGAATACCAAGACTCAAGTCAAGTATTTTCATTTTACAAACTGGCTCTTTTGAAGTTAGATAAGGAACCTCCACAGTAGGTTAGTAATAATGCTGGAATGAGAATAAACAAGTTGGCCTTACTAGCAGCCCTTTTTGCTTTTCTGAGTTGTTTTGCAGGGATTGACTCCCTCTTTTGTAGACTGAACTCAGTTTGGAAGTACTTCTTCTGGTGGCAGCACAAAATCCACCTGGCTCCCTCCCACTGCACTGCAGATGGAGCAGAAGCTTTCATACATACCTATTCCTGGGCTCAGGAGTATTAGCTTGTGAGTATCATAGCCTCGCAACTCAGATGCCCGCCTGCAGCACCGAGAGAAAGCTGCCACACACCTTGGGCCAACAGTAATCTGCGCTGCTCTCTCTGTACATGTCTTCTCGCTTTCGCGGGCTCCGTCATAGCAGCACTTCTGGACGACAGGGTGTCTGAACTGAGACGCTGAGATGAGAATTCAAATGTTCTTAGCCATAATCAGATTCAATGTCTCACTCCACTTAGTATCAGTGATTGACAATCCTCCTACTGGATCACCTCCCAGATGGGCAACTGTGCTCTATTTCAGAGGGTGTCGCTGCACAGAAATTCTTCCTCACATCTTCTAAACCAAACTCTGACTGTTGTCACTGGCGCCCTTCTGGGTACCTACAGGGTTAATCCTCCTGTGTTCATTCTTTTTAGTACTTACCCAGAATTTGGTAGTATTGTCTTGTCTTAATTAAGACGGTTTTCCTACAACATAACTGGTTTCTAAACGCTCGTACAGTTCTATTCCTCTGATCAAGGCAGTCAAACTGCAAGTCTGTTGGGTTTTTAGAAGACCATTTACTTTAAAACAAAAGCAATTATCCCACCTCACCCTCATCCCCCGAAAAAACCCACATCAAAGAGGATTTTAGATTTAGAGTTGATAATGTCCTTTTCTGTCATTTAGAGATGAGGAAACAGAAGTGTGAAATAGTCATGGCTGCTAGGGGCAGAGCCAGGCCTGGAGCCAATAGCCCATATCACGAGGGAAATGCTGGACCACCATAGAAGAGCGCTGTCCCTCTCCCAGTTTTTTAGCTTGCCAAGACATTTGAGTTTGAGTTTTCAGAAATTTGCTTTGTAACAACAATCCTGTCTTTCCTAGGTTAGAGTATGGCATTGCCAAGAAGGAGTTCCAAAAAAGAATCAAATATTATAAGTTACCATGTACTGAGTTCATTCTGACCTAAGTGTTTCATCAGCATGATCTCACGTATTCTCATAGCCCTGCAAGGCAGAGAAAGTTTATCTCCAACCAAGCCGGGGCTTTGAGACTAGTCCTATTTAAAGCTGAATTCTGACTTAGCCAGTTACTCCTTCCACACAATGTTGAAAATGTTCCTTAATTTTTCTGTGTTTCTGTTTCTTCATTTGGAGTATGAGAATAAGACTACCTACTTCATGCGATAGATGTAAGTATCCAACAAGAAAACATGAGGACAAAGCATCAATAGTGCCTGGTGTACAGTAAGAATCCAGTAACCTTACCTACCCTTTTAGCCTTATAGTTCATCAGACCTAGCTTTTGTGAGAAGGTATTAGAAGCCCTATATTTAACTGCTGATGGAAAATAACATACACAATGACTATATCCATAGAGAATGGACAGGAAGGATACCTGTTGTCTTTAGGCTAAGATTGTACTAAATCAATATGGGTTAATTTACTCAGTTTACTTTATCCTTGTGGAAAATGAAAGCTGGAAGCGCCTTGAGAGCTTTTCACCTCTTCTACAGGTATTAGTGAGAATTACAAAATTTTGCACATCCATGGTTATTTCATGATAACTTCTGGGAATAAATGAAATTTTGGAGTACCTAGATTGTCTATTTCTTCTTTCAAGGATCTTCTTGATCTGTTAATGTTCTTATGTGATCCATCTGCTAAAAAAAGAGAGAGAACTTCTTTCAGAATAAATATTTTCATCAAACTATCTAAGAACCGAGAGCAGTTGCAGAGTCACAGCAAACCTATTTTCTCAGATATCATGTTCCGTTTCCACAACAGTCCTGATCTGTGCCATTAGTGATCAGAGCCAACAGCTATCTTGGTAGCAGTGTCATTATGTGCTCTTTGCAAGTGTGTTGTCTCAAGAAACTCAAATAATATTTTTTAAAAGTTCCACATGCACATATTTTAAGGTGGTCTGTTAATCTCTTTCAAATTTATTGAATGAGAACTCCTTTCTTCCAGGCAAGTAACACAATACTTATTTAGATCCTATCCATACTGTCAATAATGAAATAATGGTTCATTCCATCGGTGTTAATCTTGCTGATTGAGTTGATGTTGCTGAGAACAAGGGTATGATTATGGGTGGAATTGTTTCCCTGTGCCATCAAATTATATAGTATGAGTTTCATAGTAGTTATGGGTAACTCATAATTTTGTCACCACTTTTGACAAATTAAATACAGGAATTTATTTAAGCAAAAAATCATGAAAATTGAATCAGTAGTAATATTATAATAAACCCCTCTCAAAGAAGAAAGGCCAAGAATTAGATGACTTCTCTGGTAAAATCTAATAAATGTGTAAAGAAGAATTAAATTTTTCTCAAAGTCTTTCCCTAAAAAGAATGAAGAGAAGAGACAATTCCAAACTCATTATGAGGACAACATCACTTGATACCAAAGCTGACACAACAAAACAAGAGACTGGTATCTTTGATTAACATGATGCGAAAAATCTTACAAAAATACAAATATAACTAAATTCAGCATATTAAAACAGCATGCATTGTGATCAAGTAAGATTTACCCCTGGAATGCCAAGGTGTTTCAAAATGCAATGATCAATAAATCTGTGACATCACATTAACACAATGAATGATAAACCATTTAATGAAATTCAACATCATCTGTAATTATAGTTAGGAAAAAAATCATTTAATGACATTCAACATCCTTTCATAATAAAAACTCTTAACTAAGATTCGAAGGAAAACACCTCTGCACAGTAAAGGCTATCTATAAAAACCTCACAGTTAACATCATATTCAGTGTTAAAAATTATAGCTTTTTCTCTAAGATCAAGAATAAGAACAAGTTAAGCATGGTAACTCTCGGTACTTCTATTTTACATTGTATGAGAAAAACTAGCAGAGCATTAGACAAGAAAAAGAAATAAAAATGGAAAAGACAAAGTAAAACTATTCCATTGAGATGACAGAAAAATTTAAAGATTTCCATTCAGAAAAACTTTTGGAACTAACAATTGGATCAATAATTTGTAGCATACAAAATATTATAAAATTGCTTTCAAAGGATTATCTAAAAAGAAAATTAAAAGAGATCCCATTTATTTTTATTTGTTGTAGATACATATTTACATGTATTTATAAATACATATTTATATGTGTTTTTATTTGTCCCATTTATTTGTTGAAAATGATTAAGCATTGAAGAAAAAAATTAAAGAACAAACAAATGGAAAGAATTAGAAGACTTACTATTGCTAAAATGTCTAATCTACTCAATATGTTCTATAGAGACATTGAAATCTCTACCAAAACCTCAATGATATTTTTTTGAGGAATAGAAAAGGCAATTCTAAAATTTGTATAGAACCACAAAAGAACATAAATAGTTAAATCAATAGAAGAACAAATATGAAACAATCACATTATCACAGGACCTGATTTCAAAATACAGTAATCAAACAGTATGGTAATAGTAATATATAAAATATATTGTTATATATAATATATATTATATAAATAATGTATATTTTATATAATACATACATACACAGAGTGGAAAAGAACAGAGCCCAGATATAAATGCTTAATGTATGGTCAACTGATATTTGAAGAGGGTTCCAAGAATATGCAATAGGAAAAAGACAGTCTGTTCAACAAATGGTGTTGGGTAAACAAACATTCCCATGCAAAAGAATGAAATTAGACCCTGACTTTCTGTATAAAAATTAAGTCATAATGTATAAAGACTTAAATAAAAGACTTCAAACCAAAAACTATTACAGGAAACAGGAAAATCTTCTTGACTCTGGTTTGGAAATGACATCACAAATATAACACTAATGTCCTAAACAAAAACAACAAAAAATAGATAAGTGGTATTACATTAGACTAAACATTTCTACATAACAAAGGAAATAATCTACAGAGTAAAAAGTCCACATATAAAATGTGAAAAATATTTACAAACCACATGCCTGATGTAAAGTTAATATGGTGGACTCCTACAACTTGACAACCAAAAAGCTAACTAATGGCCTAATTTTAAAAATGTGCTATGGGTCTCAATAGACATTTCTCAAAAGAAGGCATACAAATAGCCAACTGTTATATTAAGAAGTGTTCAACATTATTAAATATTTTAAAAATATAAGTCAAAACCACAATGACATATTGCTTCATACCTATTAGGATGGCTATTATTTTTTTTAAAGGTAGGAAATGTTGACGAACTTATAGGAATATTGAAATCCTAGTACACTGTTGGTGGAAAGGTAAAATATTGTAGCTGCTATGGAGGCGAAACAAAAATTAAAAATAAAAATACTGTATGATGCAGAAATCCCACATTTGGGATTTATCCAAAAGAATTGAAATCAAAATCTTAAGATAATATTGTCATTTCCATGTTAATTGCAGTATTCCTGATAAGAGTTAAGATGTGAAAATAACCTAAATGTTTACTAACAGATGAAGGATAAAGAAAATATGATACATACATGCAATGGAATATGACCCAATTTATAGAAAGAACAGAATTCTACAATATGCAATAATATAATTCAATCTTGAGGAAGTTATACTAAATGAAATAAGCCAGTCACAGAACGACATATAGTGCATGATACAGATCACATGAAGGGATCTCAAATAGTCAAATTCGAGGTCTTGGAAGATGGCAGAAAAGTAAGAAGCAGAGTCAACAGCCTCTCTGAGAGAAATAGTCCAGGTGTTGTAACACAGCATTCTGGAGAAGACAAGAAGGAAAGAAGTGGATATTCTCAATCTAGGAAGAAACTAAAGTGAAACTTGAAGTCCACTGAGAAAACAAAAACAAAAACAAACACAAAAAAAAAAAAAAGAAAAAGAAAAAGAAAAACTTCAACAGAAGAAGGTGGTAGCTGGCAGCGCTTTCACCGGAGCCAGAATCACCATGCCAGAAGCGTTGTTGGAACCTAGAGATGCATGGGCTCAGTGAAGCTGGTCGCTAGTAAGCCTGAATGCCTGGCAGGGAGACACGGTGGTGGAGCGGAGCAGCAAACCAGAGAATTGCACTGGCTGGCGGTGAGTGTGTGGTACTCAGTTATCCTGCAGCAGTGGGACATTGGCTGGATGCCATTTTGGAGTTGGGCAGCATAAGCCTGGAGAGGAAACTACAGCTGGCTTCATTCAGCCACTGCCAGCTCAGGGCAGACTGGTGGAAATTGCTTGGACCAATTCCCACCCCTCTGGGTGATCCAATAGCCACTGCCAAGATTTCCCTAAAGCTATCCCTAACCAACCCCACCTGCCTGGCACACTAATGTGGTGAAGACTCCTGTGGTTAACCAGCTCAGAAGGGAGGGGCCAACCTGCCCCATCCCTGGTAACACTACATTAGCCATCAGCAGACTGAGGAAAGTAGGAAACAGCAGCAATGCCTAGCCAACACACTTCAGAGTGATTATAACCAATACAGGAAGTGCCAGAGACCCCGCTACCCACTTGTCTGGTAGAAAGCAGGAACATGACAAGAGGAAGAAGCAAAAGTCAGTGTCTGGCCTCCAACCCAAGCAGCACTGGTCCAAGAGATGTAAACACAGAAGAGATCAGGAGTGGCACACCTGCAGTTTTTGAAGCAACAGCACTGAAATAAAGAAGCAATTCCATGAAGCTATAAAAGAACTTAAAATAGAAATACTATTGCAAGTAAAAGAAGATATGAGAAACATAAAAAAAGAATTGCTAAGCACCTCTAAAGAAGTCACAGATGAAAGAATAGAGGAGCATAGAAAAATGAGGGAAACCTTCAATGAAGAATATTAAAAAATTTAGAACACATGAAACAGATTGAAAGAGATTACCAGGAAATTAAAACTCCATTGAAAGCTGGCAAAACTGCTTGAAAGAACCTAAAGACAGCCTATCAAAACTTGAAGATAGGTTTGCAGCTTGCAATCATGAAACGAAAGATCTCTCAAAATAAACAAGGAACCAGGAATAGCAATACAGAGGCTAGAAGATGACAAGAGGATCTATAATTTAAGAATAAAAAATGTGAGTGAAGAAGCAGGGGTAAACACAAATGAAATACAAAGCCTATTTACAGAAATAATTAAAGAGAACTTTCCAACCATAGGAAAGGAAATGATATTCATATATATGAGGCATATAGAACTCTAGCCAGCTATAACCAAAATGGATCTACATCCAGACATATAATAATCAAGATGCCAGAAATTCAACACAAGAACAGAATATTAAAAGCTGTCAGAGAAAAGAAACAGATCATCTATAAAGGAAAACCCTTCAGAATCATGGCAGACACGAACCATCAAATCAAGAAGAGCTTGGAGTGAAGCAGTCCAAGTCCTGAAAGAAAATAACCTCCAACCCAGATTGATGTATCCTGAAAAACTATCTCTCAAAATTAATGGACAAACAAGATACTTCTATGATAAAGAGGAACTGGAAGAGTTCATGACCCCCAAACTAACCGTATAAAAATAATGAAAGACATTCTAGAGAGAAAGAGAGAAGACCATGGTTTCAGGAACAGAGGGAACTCACTGAACGGGGCAGAAAGTAGAATGAAGGGGAAAAGTAGACAACCAATGATAGCAAAATAACACGCCAGAGATGAAGCAGAGAAGGTTGGCTATAATCACTAATATAGATGACCTCGATTCACCAATAAAAAGAAACAGAGGCAGAGTGGAGTAGGAGATAGGGTCTATCAATATGCTCTATATAAGAAATACAATTAACCTGGAAGAGGATTTACAGACAAAAGTCAAATTTACTTACAAAGTCAAAGATGAGAAAACAATGTTCTGTGTGACAGAGAATCAGATAAAAGTGGGAGTGCTCACCAGTCAGCTGCAGATTGGCTAGAAAGCCATAACACCTTTATACAATGGAACACTACTCAGCTATAAAGAAAGAAAACCTTGAGGCTCTTGTAGGTAGATGGATACAACTTGAAACCATGCTCAGGGGTAAAAAGGTTCAGAATCACCTAGGTGAATAGCGGGCTGCCTCCCTAATCTAAAAACTAAAGGAGTTAGTGGGATGCAAAATGTACAATGCACCCTGTGAAAGTGAGAGGGGAGGAATTGTCTAAAAAGAGAATGCAGTGGCCATTGTAAATCTTTTATCATGATTTGAAGCCCATATTGTTTTCATCATTCTGTTTAGTTTGGTTTTATGCTGTTCCAATTTGTCTTCTTGTATTAGATTTGATGGCATGGATAGCTATTCCAAAGATAGCAGGATATATTATGGTAACCATTTTTGATTTCCTATTAGCTTTATTTGAAGCCCTGTATTGCTTTCACTGTCTTGTTTCGATTGATTTTACTTTACTCTGTTTTGTTTTATACTATCAAGTCCGAGGGTATAGGCAACTACTACTGCATTTATATTTAAGTGTGTAAGATAGATAAACATACTACTATGTTTTTGTTGGATCATTGAACAGAAAACTTTGCAGTCTCCCTGTTTGAATGTCCACATTGTATGCTTTAATTCTGTAACTTGAACAATTATTTCTAAGATGACAGTATGTAATCTATCAACTAGTGATTTCTGTTTATGTTTTTGAAATTCCATATTATTTCCACCCTTTTTTCTGTTTTTTTTTTGTCTGTAAAATTTTTTTTAAAAGTAGTCAAATTCGTAGAGTGTAAGAGTGGAATGATGCTTACTAGAGGCAGAGGAAGAGGAACTTGGGAGTTACTAATCAATGCACATGATTTTCAGTAAAGGAAGGTAAATAAGCTCTATCAATTCACTACATATAATGCTGCATCTACAGTCAACAACATGTATTTTCCACTTAAAAATGTGCTAGGAGGGGAGAGTTCATGGTAAATGGTCTTACCACAAGGAAATAATTATTTGAATTTTAAAGAAAGAAATGTTGTGAAAGCAGGATTTGAGAAAGACTAGATGTGGGCAGGAAAATCAGTGTATTTTCATAACGAGAATATCCATGTTACTCAGTTGAAAAAAGGAATTACCAATTTGTTGGGACTTGTCTGCCCCTGCATTGGTGAGGACAGTGAGCTCAGCTGCATCGAACACCTCGGCATTGTTACTGCCACCACTCACTCCACAGCCCCGGTCAATTTTCCCTGAAGCTCCAAATACCTGTTCAGAATGGAAATCACTCCTTCAAAACACAGTGCTCGGTGGCCAGGAATACAGTACCTGACTTGCAGATAATGATAATTTCAAGTCAGTCACTTACTGAATGATTAAAATCTGATTTTGCAATTTCCCCAACCACTTCTCTGGTTTTTACTTAGAGAGTTTATGAATATTCACTACTGAAAAACTCACTCAGGAGCTAACCTAAGGAAGGACAGCACTCATTTGGAAGTTCTTCAAGAAAGACTTACCCACTTCTTTCTTAAAACTTTGTATAGTGAGTTAATACAACATCTTTTGAAGGACTGAATGACTCAGTGGATGAAACATTCACTGTCCCTCATGGTGCTTTTCTAAGTTCTGAGAAGAAGGATGACACTCTGTATTTATTTCATTGCTCCATGCAAGAGGATGCAAAATACAACATGTTCAGTGAATTACTTTTGCTTTGGAGAGTTTATTCCTCACAAAATTTATAGCCATGGCCAATGTGACCCATGAAAGTGGTTCATAATGTCTGATTGCGGTGCGAAGAGGTCTGTGCTCATGGGAGGGTCAGCGAGAGGAGAAATAACTATTCATGGCTGCTATTTATCACATGGAGTCTTTCATCCACCCACACTACACCCTTCTTTCTGCTTCCCTTTCCAGTACTCAGTACACTTAGCTCACTTGGAGCCCTAGCACTTTAGGTCATTCCTCTCCCTGGAGTGGGCAAATAATGTAAGTTCATGTACTTACTTAAAAGGTTCTACCTCTCAGGTTAAATGAGATTATTGTTTATTTCAACTAGTGGCCACCATAGGAAAGATGATTTGCAATTGGTAATTTTGAAAGTTTATTTTTAAATGTGGATTTAATTGTGTTTTTGTTTGTAAGTAGTTTGAATGTTAGCATTTCAATGAGAATGGTTCCAAGTAGAGTGTATTAATATAAAACAAAGTGAGTTGGAGAGTAAATTGTGTAAAGGCTTCTTCTACCTATCTATCTATCTATCTATCTACAGAGATAATTTAAAGTGGTAACACATTTGATACTTTGTGTTGTCCCACTCAGGCCGCAAGTCAGCTGAATCTTAGTTTTCATTGTCAACAACATCGGACCGTGCTGGTAAGTGCAACACGTTTTAAATATAATGTGCATTATTGACATCAGTCTCATAGGAATGTGACTCTACGATAAGGCAATAGCTGTAAAGGCTTATAGTAAAGCTCAGCATATATTAAGTATTCAATAAATGTAAGCTCTTGGAGTTATCATCCTCCAATCAGTGTCTGAGAATACACACATGGATATAGTTATACTTTTTCTTTTGTTCTTCTCTCATAAACCAGCCCATAGAATACTGAGAGAACCATGGTGGCCACTCTGTCATAAATCAAGCCATTCTCCAGTAACCATAACGTTATTCCCACTTAACTCTTTCCAGGAGACTTTTGCCTCTCTCTTGGCTGCCATATGTAGCACTGTCCAAAGCCGTTAATGCTACCCACGACTCTGACTGAGTTTCCATAATAAGCGATATAGCTTCATCTGGAAAATGTGCATCTTTACTTGGAGACAGATGGATCTAAAATTAGTTTTAAAAAAGAAAGATTTTAGTGTGAGATTAAACAGTCACTCAGGAGGAATTCAGACTGGGAACAAGTATGAGTGTCTCACCCGGAGCTGGTTGCCACACTTTTCTTCAATGTTTAGGCAGAGAGAGTCAGACACTAACTCTGTCAGCTCTCCTGTAATGATGTAGTAGACCAGGAGATGAGCTGTAGGAACCATTTGCTGAGTCACAGAAAGGTTTAAAATTTGGGAAGATGAACCTGGGATTCTCTTCTCTGTGCCAAAGTGTACAATTTTCCCCTTAGATGAAATCTAAAAGTATATAGCAAGAAACAAGCATCAGATAGGGCTCAAAGTAGAGAAGAAATTGTGTAGAGATAAAAAGAATTTAATATCCATCATTCTTTGCTATGCATCAGTTACACAAACAATCCTCAAAATTTTATGTCATGGTTAGATTCACTGTACTTAGTAGTTATAGAAACTGAAGTCATAGATGAGGACCAAGGAAGTGACAGAATATGAATCAGAACCTCGATCTTGTTGGCCCAAACCCCTCACCTTCTCCAGCATATTATTCTCACATCCTTCCTAGCTTGCATTTTAAATAGCAGCGAATAAAATTTGGAATCACTCCACGACTGAGCCTAAGACTTGAATTCTTCCATTTGGAAATAAGGCACATTGTTAAAGATTTTTGGGAAGGCCAAAAACCTGCTGCTTACTAATGCTTTGATTAGTCATAAAATATTGCTGGGTCACGACCAGTTTGGAAACTGAACGAAGTTTTTCAACTAAGCCTTTGGCATCACATTGCTGAAGGAATATTGATTTATGGGTCAGAAGAGCTTCAACTAAATCCTAAGTCTACCTGCCATGGAAGACTTATAAACATGGAAGGTTATTCACCCTTTCTGGTATATTCTATTGTCTGCAGAACCAAAAATTGTGTTGAAGCTTTTGTTGTGAGTGTGCTTTATAGACTAGAAAGTAGTAAATTTCATCCATTTACTCATGCAGTATCAACTGTGGCAGGTAATAAGTCATTTTAAAAACTATATTTGTAAGTAAAGAGAATGTTGCAAATAGGATACTGGATGCAAGTAAGATATTATTGAACTTACCAAATAACTGTAGTGTTTAATTTTGTCGACATAAGGACTTTCAGGGGTAACAGTTATGCTTAGATGTTCTCCCACAAGCAAACTCCGGTAACTACTTGTCCAGCTAAGGGAAAGGAAATTTTGGCTGGGTGATGAGTAGGTCACTGCTTGATAGTAACGTCTGGCCTGACATTGTTCAGGAAGGTCGGGGTCATCAGTTCTAACCTAAAAGAGACAGTGCCAATAAATGAAAAACACTGACGCCTAACTTTGTGATGTGATAATGATGGTGATGGTAAATGCTAACACTTGTCTAGCAATTTGTAGTCCCAAGTTTGACTCTATGTGTTTAACGTACATGAGTATGTCCATATCCCTGATAAGCTTTCAGACTACTCAACATCTTCTGAAAAGGAAAATTAGTCATAGCTTACAATCAAGTTATTCAATGACTACAGAAAGGTACTAGTTCAAAAATAATGAAAGTATTTATGCAATTTGAGGCTATTGCAGAAACTCTGGTGAAATCAAACAAAAAAAAGATCCTTGACATAGGATCGATGTTCCTTCTCAAATGACATACTAACTTAACGATACATTTCTTAGTGCCAAAGGCTGGCGGACATAGGTATTTGAGAAGAGAAAAAAGTGTAGAACATGATGTAGCAATCTCAAAAGACAAGTGTGTAGCACTCTTTTTTAAATTGACAGATTAAAATTGTATATATTTTTGATGGATAACCTGACGTCTTGGTATATGTATACATTCTGGAATGACTGACTCTAACTAGCTGCCACCATACTATCTCACATACTTATGTTTTGTCATGAGAAAACTTACAGTTTATTTTCTTAGTAATTTCAAGTAATAATTCATTATTGTCAACTATAATCACATGATGGTATTATATGATAGAGTGCTTTAACTTAAAATGTTTCTGTACAGGTGAAAATTTGTAACGTTAGAGGAAAATCTCCTCATTCCTCCCTCAGCCTTTGGTAATTATCATTGTACTCTCTGCATCTATGACTTGGCTTTCTGGGCACTATGTCTGAGTAAGATTATTTGATGTTTGCCTTTCTGTTCCTGGTTTATTTTGCATGATGTGTAGTCCTCCAAATTCAGCCATGTTGTGACAAATGGCAAGATTTTCTTCCACTGTAAGGCTAACTGGTACTCCATTGTGTGTGTACACCACATTTTCTTTATCCATTCACCATTGGTGGACACTTAGATTGGTTCCATCTCTTGGCTATTTCAAATAACATTAGTATGAACATAAGGGTGGTTATGGGTCTTTGCAACCTTGATTTCCTTTCTTTTCGAAGGTAAACAGGAACTACTGGTTCAAAATGGAGAGTTCAAAGAGCAAAGGGAGGAATGTGAAAAGGAAACAAACATGGAAAAATAAAGACAAAAGAGTGTTTAAGAAAAAAGAAATAGTCAATTGTACCAAAAGTCTCAGAAAAGGCAACAAAGATAAGGACTGAAAAATATTTGATGGCATTAGCAAGCAGCTCAAGAGTAACCCAGATAAGAGCACTTTCAGAGGAGTCATAGGGACAGAAGCCAGATCTCAGTAGTTTGGGGAACTTTGAAAGAGGAAAGCAGATAGACGATTTTTTTTTTTTTTTTTGGAGAAGCTGCCATGTGAAGTTAGGGAGACGCACTATTGGCTGGAAATAGTGTATACAAAAATATTCTGTTAGTGTTCTTATATTTCTTCTTGTTATATGACTTTCCAGATTTAGTCTCACATTTAACATAAGAAAAAATACCCTAAATACAAAATGGATGAACCTAGATTCTTTATGAAATGGTCAGTACACTAAGTTATATTTTCTGTGCTCAGAAAATGCTTCCGAAGAGTTTACTGAACTTATTCATAAAATCTTCTCCATGTGTCCTGTACAATCACTACCATACAGACTGAGGCAATATTAGAAAGTGCAATAAATACAAATTCTGCTTACATGAAACTCCAGAGCTGTCACATCAGTGGGGATGTTAACCATAAATGAAGCTATGCCATCCTGATAATTTGTTGTCCTATTCCTTGGATCCAGATCTCTTTTCTCCTGATTTTTATCCACTGTTTTTGCTTTTAGGGTTACTGAAATTCCTCCTACAAAATGATCAAAAGTGTCCTTTACCTGCACCTGTTGGGACCAAATCCATTGCAATAGTTAATATTTATTCTGTTAAAACAAGTAAATCCTAAGATAATTCCCTCCTTTATCCTTAAGCACAAACTTGGTAGGATTTAATTCAACAGACAAATGTGGTTATTTTAATGCTATGTTTTCACCACTCTGGTTTTATATGATACAAATAACATTTAACTTGATTCAACAATGGATATTGAATGTTTAATAAAAGCAGGGTTCTGTGCTATGTACCTGTGCTTAAGACACAGGTTGGGTGAAATTATTACCAGAACTGAATCTGAGCTATTGTTTTATATCATACTCTTGCTGGTTACCTTCTTTTATTCCTCAGCACCCATAATTCTCTTTAAATGCTTACACTGCAGGTCATAGAAAAGCAAAATCTGAGATTCTTTTCTTCTGTTCTTCCATAGATGAAGTAACCCACCAGTAAATGAAAAAATGCAATCATCTGAGATTTTTTTACCATCTAACCTTGATAAAATATGGAATTCCAGGCTTCAAGGAAAGAGGAGTAGCAACCAAATCCAGTGTGTATGGAGACAGACCATATTTGACATCAGTTTCTTTGGAGAAGTCACCTATTGGAATAACATTTATTTCTTTGAGAATGTGGACAAATACACATTAGTACAATGATCTCAGTGGTTACTCATCCTGTTTCTATGTGACTTTCTTTCTTTCTTTCTTTCTTTAATTTTTTCTTTTTCCTTCGTTCGTTCCTTCCTTCCCTTGTTCCTTCCTTCCTTCTTTCATTCCTCCCTTCTTTTTTTGATAAGGATAAGCCACTCATTTATTCTTTGATCAAAATTATAATTATTAACTAATGTTGGGTGATTTGTGTGATGCCTCTGTGAACTAGTAAAGTGTGATTCGCAGGTATTGAAAAGATACATACATCTGTTTCAACTACTTTCCTCTTCCAGACCACTTATCAGCTCATTTAGTTCACTTCTTTCTTCACATAATCAGATCAAAGAATAACACAATTTGAGAAGAAGAAACAATCTGTGAAACAGATGGTTCTTTTCTCCAAGGCAATATTCACAAGTAGCATGGTAAAAGATATATGTTAAATCTTTAATAATGTGTATCCAATATCTGAATGACTCAAGGATAATTTCATAGGATGAATAACTTTGCAGTCTCATTTATTTGTTACAAGTAAAATTTACTGGTACCAGTATTACCTGAAATTTTTTAACAAGATAAAAGGTTATCTTAGGTGCACAGAACTAATAGAAAATGTACTTCCTGGGCATTTTGCCTCCATAGGACAATATTTTGATCAGCCTTACCTGTACTTACCCAACATTGCACCAATCATAAGTTGCAGATTTTTATTTTAATTTTGGAATAAGAAAGAACCTTAAGAAATAACCTTAAGAACCTTAAGAAATAAACTCAGGAGTGAGTTTAGGAACTCACCCTTAGTTTTGTGAGAACTAGAATGCTACCTGTGATAGTGAGCTTTCCATCACTGTGATGCAATATCTGAGAGCAGAAAGTTTTATTGTGGCTTACAGTTTTAGAGGTTCAGTCTATGGGTCAACTGGCTTCATTGCTTTGAGGTTTGTGGTGAGCAAGAAAAATCATCATGGGGGAGTGTGATGGACAAAAACTGTTCAGAGAGATCCTAAGAATGTTAGTGAACTTCCTCTTGCACTTCCTTTTCATCGACTCCCATCCTATGACGTGGTGTGAGCATGTTCATGACAAATATACCTTAAGTGTTTTCTGTCCTATATGGCAGTTGTCTCAGGAAATATCCTCACAGCCACACCCAGAAGTGTGGTGTACTAATTTCCTAGGTATTTTTAAATCTGGTCCTTAGGTCTATCAAGATTAACCATCATGTTACCTTTGAACCCTAAATTCAGAACTGCTTCCCATCAACCCTAAAAATCAATGCTGTATTGGCAAATGACTATGTTTGGGAGAACATTTTTTTGGAAATGCTTGTATTAACTGTACTAATAATTAACTTGTAAAAACTCCCATTCCTTTCTCATAAGAACTTTCTAGGAGTCATCTTGTATGGGAAACTGTCATTAGGCTATGTACATCATGTTTTCTGCCTATCAGAAATGAAATAGCCTGTGAATCAGTGGAACTCATCTTTGGAGTTTCATATTGGCTCTCTTGGATGCTGTGCACAGGACAAATCCCTTGGCTGTTTCTATGGTACACACTGAGAGCACCTTTCTCTGACACAAAGAGAAGCAGCCAGAACACTGAGGCACTTGCTCTGCTCTTCAATAGCCAGGCTCACAGTGCCTGCCCTGGTCACCCTGGAGCCAAGTCTCCCTTCTTTCTTCAAGTGCAGCCTTCTCCTATGGGGCTGAGCAGTCTGCAGAACCTTGCATGGAAAAGGGATTGAAATACCTAGCATCATCTTTTTGATTGGACAAAGAAAACAATAGGCTTATATAGTCAAAATGGTATTGCTTATGACCATAATTTCAAAGACATGGAATGCTAAAACTTTCCCGCACTCCAATTCTCATCTTTCTGTGAATGCTGTTTTCTAGAGCTACTAATAAGAGAATACATTTCCTAGAGGAAAGTTTGAAATTTGCATTCACATTTAGGACACCAAATGGAAGAGAATTGCTAAACACAAGAGAACACATGAAGATGCTGAAGAAGCAAGATATTTCCACTTTAGTAGCCTTTTGTCACACTCACTGTATGTCAGGCATCAAGGAGAAGGTCTACACAGACAAACATGCTGAGGGTTTGTACTTAACGACCTCATATTCTGACAGTAGCACAAGTGGTTTGATACGGACAAGGGCTTTGGAAGAAGAGAGATGAGATCGACCACTGGACATTGACAAGGATTCCCAGGGGTATCAATGATAACCATGATGGAGGGAAGGATACTGACATTGGCGTGGTTCATCAAACCCACTATAACAAAAAGTTTCTTGCTTGAAATACAGTTCTAGTTTCTACTGTACCATTTTGTATGTTTGTTTCTTCACATAAGTGTACACTGGACAAACCCACAGCTGTCTATCTTAGTAGAACTAGAAAATTACTTCATTGGCATAAAAACTTTGAGACTTTAAAGGTTTCTATAAAAGCTATGTAGGAATCTTTCTAATTTTCAGATTCATGTGGATCCAGAATGGCAAAAAACCTAGATTGCAAGGGTTTAATTTAACTAGTTGGTAGTGCGTGACTGAGATTGTGGCTCAGTGTCAAAAAAAAAAAAAATCCTGTAGTCAGGGCCACTATCCTAGGCAGAGGATTCCAGCATATTTGTGTGAAGTGTATTGGCTGATTCTAATTGCTTTTGTCATAAAACCTCATATGTAAATAACTCTAAAGATTGAATAGCATGGTGCTTATTCAGGTAACTACATTGCTCAAATATCAAAAGTCATATTTTTCTTATTTGTGGCCTACTTTATATAAGTTTATTCCAGAGGCTGCAATGAATTTGATGGTACTGGCTCCCAAATACCACTTTGCAGAGGAGCTATGTAACTTTGCCTTTGAATGGGAACACTGGCCTGCCTGATTTTTAATACATAGGGAAAATTTGCATTATTCCTTATCTTTAAAGGAAAATATGAGGTTTACATGGAAAGAATGCACCTTGGTACATGTGGGGCAGATGCGTTGTTGCTTCATTTGCTGAGAAAGACCCCACGGCATAGGTCCCTGTTGTTCCACACCATGCTTCAGTGATGGTGTTGGTGTGGCCTCCTATAAAGGGGCCAGTTATGCTCAGCTCACCACTACCTCATTAAGAATATACAAACCCTGAGAAGTGAGACAAGTTCTTTTCATCCCTCTGGGACTCAATTTTCTCCATCATCGATGGGAACAAAACTCCTTGCCTTAGCTCTGCCACAGGCTCAGTTAAGCACTACCAAGTAGTTAAATTTGAACTGTTTTGTAATAGTGGGTTAGATGAACCTCACTAACATCAGTATCCTTCCCTCCATCGAGGCTGTCATCCATATCCCTGGGAACCCTTGTAAATGTCTAGTGACTTTCTAGAAAGTTCTTGTGAGAAATGAATAGAAGTTTTTATAAGTCAATTATTAGGCAATTAATAATACAAGCATTTCCTAAGTAAGTGTTTTCCCAAACATTCCAATAGAGCATTGATTTTTAGGGCTGATGGGAAACAGTCCTGAGTTTGAGGTTCAAAGGTAACATGATGGTTAATCACTTTGGGTTTTTTTTGTTGTTGTTGTTTGGTTGGGTTTTTTTGTTTGTTTGTTTTGTTTTGTCTTTTTTTTTTTTTTTGAGACAGAGTCTCACTCTGCAGTTCTTGGCCTTGAGCTCACTTTGTACCCCAGGCTGGTCTTGAACTAACAACAATTCTCCTACCTCAGCCTCCCGAGTGCTGAATTACACACATGGGCCACCGTGCCTGGGGTATGATGGTTAATCATGATGGACCTCAGGATTGAATTGAAAACAGCTAAGGAAATTAGTACACCACACTTCTGGGTGTGTCTGTGAGGGTATTTCCAGAGACAATTGCCATATGGGGCAACAAATTTATAAGGGACATTTGCCTTGATCACAATTTAGTAATGAAACAAAAGTGTAAGAGGAAGTCCACTAACACTTTCTTGTGTTTTCTCTGAACAGCTTTCATCCACCACACCCTTCTGTGATGATTTTTCTAACTCACCACAAACCTCAAAGCAATAAAGCCAGTGGACCCGTACACTGAAACCTCTAAAACTGCAAGCCACAATAAACCTTTCCTTTTTAAAGCTGTTGTTCTCAAGTATTTCAGCACACTAATGAAATGCTAACTAACACAAGTAGCATTCTGATTCTTGGTCTAGACAAAGTGACTGTGATAACTTAGGCAATGGGAACAGTTTGGACAGTCTCTAACAAAGTCAGAGAATCTTGGGTCACACGTAGGAGGATATTACTTATCCTTGCCTTGTTATTGATGTGACCACCTCCACAACCATGAGGAAAAGGCAGGGCACAGAGTTCAGTGACTACATGGAGGTGAACCAGATGCACACAACCAGGACTTCAGCTTTCTTACTCCTGGTCTACCTCCATCTACTACAACTTTATTTTTACTGAATTTATACTTTATAAAGTCACTCAGAACTGTTTTTCAAGACATGTATTAGAAATCGCAACAATTTAGTAGAAATTACCAGAGTTTTTAACTTCAAAATATGCAGTTCCTGTTGTTGTGTAGTCTTCTTTATATTTAGCTTCAATTGTCCAAAGGCCATATCTGTAAAAGCAACAGATTTAGAATACACATATCATCACTAATGTATCTTTAATTTTCCTACTGATTACAGTTACTTAGTGTGCACCAAGGACTAAATGCTCTACACATTTAAACTCATTGAATTCTCATCAAAGTACGTGGCCTAGGTTCCATTGTTATCCATATATTATCATTAAAAAACTGAGGTCCAGATAGATGAAGTAACTTGCTCGGGGACAAACAGCTGGTAGGTGGTGTGCATTCTGACTCTAAAACCCTGGACAACACTTCATGTTTCGATGACCCTGACAGTACCTTCAGATTTTTGGATATTCTATGTAATATATCATAACTGAAAGATGTATTAAAATTATAAACAAAAGTTTGTATTTTAGGAAAAATCATTGTAAATATCTGAAATTATTTTCATATTACTGATTCTTTCCCTGGTAGGCCAAAGTGCTGTATATATTTAACTGGAAAAAATGTTAAACTATCAATATTTAAGTGTTGATTATTCAATTAATGATCCAAACACGATATTAATCATATTAATAGCTAGAATAGATTATACAGTTTGCTAGAAAATCAGGACTACATTTTCAGGAACATCAATCAAGTTAAACTTATTTAAATGGTACAAATATATAATTTTAGAATGTTTACAGCTCAAAGCCAGCATGTCACTATTTGTAGGGACAGTATGGTAGAAGCCAAGAGCAAAGATGCTCTTTGCCTTCCAGGAGTTCAGGGCTACTGTTTCTGCTCCCCTCTCATTTAATGGTTTATGACCTTGAGTTTACTTATCTCAAAAGTGAGATATACACAAGATAGATAGCTATACCACTAATCTCTTATAGTTCATCCAAAAGAACAGTTTGTGCTTTCATTGTTTGATTGATATATCATCTTTATGTGCCTAAAACTTGTATCCTGAACAGCTAGTTCTAGGTCAACAATATGCAATATATTATTAGTGTTAATTTCCCAGTGTTTTTTGAAATTCTATATCATTTCTATCCTTTTCTGTTTTGCTTTTTTTTGGGGGGGTACTGGAAATTGAACTCACAATCTCAGCAAAGCAGGGAATTATGCCACTGAGTTAAATCCCTGGCCCATGTTTTGCTTTTTAAAATTAAAAAAAAAAAAGACAATGATAGACCAGCAGAGTGCTTAGCACATAGTAGAAGATCCATAAATTCCAGTTTCCTTAATTTATCGAAGTGTTATAGTTGCAAGGCATTATGCACCATAAAAGTATGAAATCATATTTCAAAATATCATCCTACTTCTAGAAATTTTAATTAAAATGACAAAGATAGCTCCAAATCTTCTAAGAAATATGAAACATATACTAGTGGACATCTTTTCTGCTCTTCCCTTTTTTCTTTTCTCTCTGTTTTGTTTTTGTTTTGCTATTTGCTCCCCCTTCCCCTTTTTATAGGCAGAGTCTGCATCCCCATGGCATCTGTTACCTGTACTTTCTGTGGAAGACTTAGACTGATTAGAGAAGACAACTTTGATGCTGGAAGTAGGAAATATTGTATCAAGTTTCTGCTTTGATGAAGAAGAGCTCAAACAGGGCTGGGGATATAGCTCAGCAGCACAGCGCCTGCCTGGCAGTGCAAGATCTTGAGTTTGATCCCCCTCACTCCCCAAAAAAGCAGATTCCCCTTCCCTAGGTCAGGACTCTTGCTAGACCTAATAAGAATAGCTAAAACCAAACTTTCATTAGCACCTTTCTGTTATATGTAAATGAATCAGTTGACTATTCAATAGCCCCAAGGGGTCTCCACTACTTTATTTATTTATTTAATTTTTTCTTTTTACCAGTATCGGGGATCGAACTCATGACTGCCTACTTGCAAGGCAGGTGCTTATGCCGCTGAGCTAAATCCCCAGCCCTTCCACTGTTTTTACGAGCAATTTAACCAACAAAATACTTAGGATTGGACAGGAGCTTGAAGTCAGGAAAAGTGAGAATCCCTGTGCAACTTTTTTCTTCTACCGTGGCAACTTCTGATCCTTCGGGGTCCTTTGAGCAAAAATAAAAACAAAAATTAAGTTTAATCTTTTGTTAACAACTTAGAAATACAAAAGCTACACCAAACATACTACATGCTCGATAGTTCTTATAGAAATACACACTAAGTCACATCAGCACATGCAATGTTGGTGTAGTGTTGAGGCAGTGAGTGACTCGTGCTGGTCAGGCTCCTTAGCAAAGATGACTGTCAGCAGCACAAAGGCACATTTTAAACGGGCTTAAGTAGGACTATAAATATTTAAGAAAATGCTGAACTCCTAGCAGAGGTCTTCCTCATAAACCTCTTTCTTGAATAGGACTTTGACAGTGACAGTCCACAACATCATTTTCATAATTTCACTGCATAGCCAAAGGCTCCCTTGGGTCCCTCTTGTCTTTGATATCAAACCCGAAGACTTGTGGACCTGCCACAGCAATTGTCTCTCATGTGGTCCACAGCTGTCCTCCATATGGAAATCTAACAAGCAAATAGCAGATTAGGTGAGGCCAGACATTCACCGTTATGACAAGTCCACTAGGTCTTGCCTGTCCCACCATAACTCCCCAAACACAGCCCATGATAGTACAAATCTGCCACTGTCTCTCCCTGAGGTACTCCAAGGCTGGGTAGTTACAGCTATACCACTGTTACTGTCAACTCTGTGACCTGCCACCCTACTTCTTCTGGCTCCAAACCTCTGCGTGCGTGCGTGTGTGTGTGTGTGTGTGTGTGTGTGTGTGTGTGTTTTCCTGGAGATCAAACCAATATCACTAAGGAACATCCCCAGGTGTCCTTACTTTGAGGCAGAGTCTCATTAAGTTGTTCAGATGAGACTTGAACTTGCAATCCCACAGTTTAGCCTCCTTCAGGACAGGCATGACAGGAGTTTGACACCAAATTCAGCTCTGACCTCTACTCTTCTGTGCACCCACATCTCTTATCAAATCCTCTTCACAGTTTTATTTAAGTCCCAGTTGAGAATGCATCTTTGTCCTTTAGGAATTCTCTCCAGAGAAGGGGACACTTCTTCATCAGCATTGTCTCCCCTTCAAGCTGGCTTGCTAGAGTAGCTTTTACATTACTCCTTACTTGGCTTGCTATTTTATGTATGCTGGTGTGGTCTTCCAAATTTATATGCTCATAGAACACCATAATCCCCAAATTAAAGGAGAGATGTTGAAGTACGGAGTCTCTGGAGATAGGCTTGGGTCTAAACTTGATTTAGCTAATTATTACCAGTAGGATGTCAGTTGGTGTTTAGTTTCTCTAACCTTTAGTCCTCTGTTCTATAAAATGTTCTATAAAATGTAGAAATGATTAATGATTAACCCATTGACTGATTCACTTTAAAGATGGGCCATCAATAGGTGTTCTTTAGTGGAGTCATTAAATGTTGAGGCATTTAATTTATGCACAAAAATTATTAAGATCAGAGAAGAATAAAATTACCATATTCTACTCACAGTAGATGCTGAATAAATGCTTCCTCAAATTTAATATTGAATAACTTACTGTCAGATACGATAATGAAAATTCTTCATTTAAATAATGGAAATGCCAGGGTTAAATTTTGATTTAAAGTAATGGATACTCACTATAAATATCAAAGTAACTTCTCTTGGGGATGGTTTTAGGTCGTTATCCAATGAGTAAACTCTAACTTTCACTGTAAGAAAAATTTCACTGTTAGGAAATCCATTCAACTCTAAATGATCTGACAATACTATTAGTAACTCTTTAATACAAGGTCCTTGAAATTTTAAGTAAAAGTAAGAAAACAAAACATAAAATCCAAGCTTAAAATCTCATATTGTGGTGATGGAATTTAGCTTTTATTAAAGTTGGGGAAAATTATTTTCCAAAGAAAGTTCATATACAACTTCTTTTAAGTATTTCTTTTTATGCACTTTAAACATGAATCAACATATTAAGAACCATTTTTGCTTGATCTTTTGTATTTTTAACCCACTGCTAGGTAAGACAGACTTCAGCTCCCTAGTGTCTGAAATTATCATAAAATAGAGGTAAAAATAAGTTGTATCAACATAACCCAGTCAATGAAGCATTCCCTAATTCACAATGAAGATGCAAGCAAAAATCCGCATATCTAAAGATATGACTGAGTATCTGAGCACTCAGAATGATGAAAACGTTACAGACCTGATTTCTTCCAAGATCAGATACCAATCCTGGCTAAGGCCAGGTGTGCTAGCAGGCCTCTGTTCTGTCCTATTGCTAAAATTTTGGAGGGAATCTCCAGTTTATCCCATCTGTAAGCATCACCACCCTTCACCATCATGGTAAATGCTCATTCATGAAATGTTCTTGCACTCAGTAGATCCTAACTAGCTGGAGCTTCCTTCCCTCCCTGAGATAATTTTTAAGAAGGGATTTACTGAAAGCAGACTGAAACCTCCAAATAAAACATAAAGTAACAGATATTACTAGGGAATCTTGGCAATTTATTTTACAATGTTCATATAAAATGAAATATTTGTAAGAAGACCTGTTATTGAGAACAAAAAGGGGAAATTTTTAAAGTTAAAATTCAGACTCTTTTATTAAGTGTGATTTTACAATGTATCACCACATTCTGCACCTCGCCTGCTCTCCTCAAGCTTTCTCTGTGTTTCCTTGATTAAAAAAACAAATTTGAAAGAAGCCTCAGCATCATTCTAGGAAAAGTTCTACCTTTAAAACTCCCATGTTTTCTTATTCTTTGTTTCTGTAATTTACACTTTAATCTTCAGTTTATCAGCTCTTTACTTTTGTGTATAACATAAAGTAAGATTTTGTTTTCTTTTTTCCCCCAAAAGACAAGCTATGTGCCCCCCAAATATTCACAAGATCATCCCACTTTTCCACAGTGGAATAAAATTCTGTTCTTATTATACCTGGTTGTTCCAAATTATAAACAGATCTGTCTGTCTGAATAAAAAGAAATCCATTGTCATAGCTTAGTGGGATTTTTATTTCTCTTGAAAAATGGATTGATACAACTTCTAAATATACATATGAAACTGCATTTGGTCCACCAGATAAATCTTTTGGCTGTATCTGTTTAAAAATTAATGGAAAAAAATAAACAAAATGTTAATGAAAAATATTATGCAGTCATCTTAAAAATAAAGCAGTGCTTTTCAGACATCTATGCTAATAATTTGATTATTTATATCTAATAAACATATTCTGAAAAATGAACACAATAAATTAATGTTTGTCAAGAATACTTCTGTATTTTAGTTTCTTATAAAATTTAGTTTGAAATAGCAACTTTCAAAATTGAGCCAATTCAATGTCTCTTAAAAATGATAATCACCTGCATTGAAAAAATAAATTTTTATTAGGCAAAATGACAAAAGACATTAGGAAGAGATCAAAATTTAAATGCTCATCAGTAATAGAGGTATAAGAGAATAGAGATGAGGGATTTGTGTTAGGTAGACAGTGAACTAAATGACTTGTCACTTGGTGGTATGAATGAATAACATATTCTTCATATTTGTGATAATATTTGCATTTGCGCTGAAAGTCTAAGTTTTTACTAATTTTCTATGTCTGTGGGTCACAGTATAATTAGTACCAACTTATTGAAATATATTGCCTTAGGTCAGCATAATTTGTAACAATAAACATTTCTCTAATTTTCCTTAAACATTCTTCACAAATTTGAAAGAAAACTTCTTTGGTTTAAGTACAAAAAGAAAATGTAAAAAGTCTATGATGGATATATATTTTAGGATAAAAAACAATTATTTTTTAAATAGTGAAATGTTATAATATATAGTTTTGGAAAGTGACTATTCAAAATGTCTCCATTAATTTTCTTAAAATTTTATGAACAGAACCAAATCCTATATTTACATGTAGGTTTGTGTATATATATGTGTGCATATCTTAATACTGTATAAAATTTAAGTATAGGGCTGGGGATTTAGCTCAGCAGCATAAGCACCTGCCTTGCAAGCAGGCAGTTGTGAGTTCGATTCCCGGTACTGCTAAAAATGAAAAAAAGACAAAAAAAATTTAAGTATATAAATTATATCTTCCTAGTATTCGCCATACGATTTTGACCCAATTACATGTGTTGATTGATTTACTTTTCAACTGGTGCTACCAAGTATTTTCATTTTAATAGCCATTATCTACTTTACTCAGATTTTCACAATTCCTTAACTGCCCTCAAATCGAAAACAGATTCTCCATTTATAGATTACTATAAATATGAATGTAATGATATCTCACATCATCTAGACACTTCACTTAAAAGTCTGATATGTCAATTTTTATTCATGCATATAAAATGGATCAGTGGACTATCTACTTGTAATTTTACAAAAAAATCTGCCATGTAAAACAAAATATAAGAAGAATACCTACAGTTAAGTTTGCAGAGTTTTGAAATTTATTCTCTGGAGATAAATCAACTTGGTCAAAAGCATATGTAAAACTTTTTTCAGGATAACTTTTAATAGTAATGATCACAGAAAATGATTTCATATATCCATAAGCCTGAATTACAACATTTTCAGAGGTTCCAAGATAGAATACTTTAGGTGCTGAGATAACATACCTGTTGGAATAGTAAAATTATGCTGTCAATCTGTTAATAAAAGTTTTAATATTTTCACTTCAATGAACCAATATGCACTGTTAACATTTCTTAAACTTAGAAACATCTTTTTTATTCCTGAAAATTTCGTTAGCCTGGTAAAGACAGAATACTTTACAGAAAGGATGAAACTTCAAGAAGGCAGATAGAAATGTTTGTTCTTAATCAATTGTGTCCAGGAAATGTTTCCTAGACCTCCTGGTAAGAAGTGCAAATACAGATCCTAACTCTGTTTTTGGAATAATCCTCTTTTAAACAAAACACCAATCAAGAAATTACTCTTTCCTGGGGAGAAATGTGAGAGCACTGGATACACAGTGTTAGGAGCTAAATTATGCATAGCTTGCAAAGCATTTGTATTAAAACACAGACAAGGAGCAGCGGTTGCCAAAGGAAAGAAGAAATTCACTTGGATGCCTCAGAAATAAGAAGTTAATTTCATCAGACATTGATTAAATTCTGCTTTCTCTATAATTACAACTAAAATACGTTTCAAATGAAAATGGCATCTTTCACTTACACTTGCTCCTGTCCCCAACTTCTTCCCAAGTAGAAAAAAAGGCAAACTATGATTAAAATGTCCATGGTAGGAGTAGCATAAGATCACTGGTACAACGTCTCTTGAAATTGTCCTGCTTTTTGTGAATTCAGTTTGAAGAATTTGTTTACATTAGTTCTCAAGTTAATTATTAATGTCAAATAGTAGGATCACTGAGAGGGAAACCTTGGAATTTAAGTAACTATTGAATGTCCATGGGTATTCTGGGATTCCAGGAGGAGAAACTTGATTTTGATAGTTAACATAGAAAAGACACCCTCATGTGAATCTATGGTGAAATGCCAGCACAGACACAAAGAATTTAAAGGGCTATCTGGTCTTGAACAGTTTTAGATGTAGTAGTTACTACTACATCTATGACCAGATGTCCTTCAGATGCTGAATGTTGACTGTTAAAAGTATGCTGAGTGCATACTTCTTCAGGAAACTCGGGTCAGCCCTGGAAGGTAGCTTACCCAGAAATGCATGAGAGGTTACATCCTTCTGATCTTGTTCAACAATCAATAATTGACCACTTGTGAAGATATAACTCGCTAGGTCCCATGACTCAAAGTTTAAAAGCTGTGTGGTGACATTCATGCCCTCTATCACGTGATCAGCCTGAGGCTGGATCTCAGTAGAAGCTGAGTTTTTTGCTTAGTTTTTCCATGATCAATTTGTGCTTTGTCACTGTTTATTGGTGTCTCTTAAGAGTGGTTTTTAAATAAATTATTTTCATGAGAATGTCTTTCTCTTTAAGGCTGTGCTAGGGAATCAATCAAAACTTAAGGACACCATAGGGAACTCTTGTCCTGGACTCCATGTGGAATGTCTTAGGTAGATAGAGATGATTCTGAGGCTTCTTTGGAATGAGTCTTGTAGATTTTTAGAACAGACTTAAAATCCCAAGACAATTTCCCAAATGCTGAGCTGCTTCTAAAACTACAATTGAGCCATGAATGGCCAGGACATAGACCAAGAAGCTATGAAACTATTGTCTTAGGTTCTCAGGATGTGCTCAGCCACATGCAGGGCCCATACTGACTGTCTCTGTGGCTGGTGATGAGAGTGCTGGGTTTGTTAATCGTTCCTTTACCTTTTACTCTATCTAAACTGCAGGCTCCATGACAACAACTACAAGGGGGTTATACCCTGGAACTTATCATAGTGCTAAAAGATACTAATTGCCAAAGGAGATGATGTTGAAAGGTGGGCTGAAGGCAGATTTTGCATTCTATGTGGAAGAACCTGGGCTTTATTGTGTATGTGATGGGAAACTGAGAAGGGCGTTGTGGCCTTGCTGTTCAGACCCTGAAGATGATGCCATCTCTTTAAGACGTGTTTGTGTTCTTTGTTCATCAAAAGGAAAGTAAGCTAGTACATATTGTGGAAAATATTAATCAAATTGTCTGCAAAATAAAATACAAACAGAAATGGATAAAAACGTGGGATGTCAAACACAGCAACTTTCAAAAATGATCTACATGACAACACACAATTTTGATGCTGTTTGAAAAAGGGGTCTCATAACTACAAATCTATATTCACGGAACTGTATGAGTGGTGAATGAAAATTATGAGGTAAGAGACTTTGTAGAAATGTGTGCATATCTTTTGACCTGGGCCAGTAGACTAATATTTAAACCATTGTTCAGGTTCTGAGCCAAATCAAATAGAATATTGCAGGAATCACGGGCAGGAAAATTACTGATATAGAATGCACTGAAAAAGGTGATATAAAAGGATCTGTAGATCACTTGGTACAACAGATAAATCTGGTATCAATACAGTCCAGAACATGGTCAGACCTACACTGACAGAAAAATTCCCATCTCTAATGGGGCCGACTGTAGCCGTGCTTTAATTTTTGGTTAATTGTGTCAATAACTGAAGGCATCCAAAAGGGGAAAAATAATAAGAGCTTCATTTCACAGGTACATTTACACTGGATCAGCCCTTCTCATGCAGGTGTCAAATTTTTGCCCCAAGAGAACAAATTTCTGTTCTTGTTTTGTTCTCATTCTTTGTTCTTGTTCCTTGTTTTGTTCTCATTCTTATGCACAAACTCACATTGCCATCAAACATAGTGACAAAGATTTGGGGACAAAAACAAACAAGACAATAAAAACAATAAAACTTCATCCTATTATCACTACATGGGTAATTTAGGCCAGAAATCATTCACATTTTCAAATAATGTACTGATCGAAAAGAAGCCATTTAGGAAAGTATCATAATAGTCTGAGGAAGAGATGATAATAGGCCTAGAGTTACAACTCTAAGATAGACAGGGATGAATTTAGGACCATTTTAAGAGATTGAATCAATGTCTTTATGAGTAAAGTAGGAGAAGTGATAGATAACTTCATTCATTTCACAAATTTTTATTGAATTCTTTTATTGAATTCTAGGTGCCAGGCCCTGTGCTAGTTTGGGTGACAGTGGTAAACAAAATAGAAACTCATGGAACTGCAGGTTAAAAGGCATAGGGGTCCCTTTTTCTGTTCTCGTCATGGTCCAGGAAGCTTATATTTATAAATCCATGGAAACATTATTGGAGTTTTAGTGGGTTAATTTCAATCTACCACTTCCAGTGCAACCTGCAACAAGAAGGAAGACACTAAGTCATATTTACAGTCATACAGTCCCATCTCTAATGGGGCCGACTGTAGCCATAATTATTTACGAATGGCTGAGGGTTCCTGAATTGAAGATGAATGTTTATTGGAACAGAGGCCTCAACCCAGAGACTAACCCAGATTTTATTAATTCACTAAGAAGGGAGAGGCTAGAGGAGAGTGACTGAGAGAATTGCAGAAGTTATGTGAGTACTGTGAGCTGGTCTAGCTAGGAAGCCAAAAAAGCACCTCTGCAATAAGCAGGGAGAAGGATACACAGAAAAATCAATCTGCATTACACAACTGAGGTAGCATTTAGTGTTTAGCAGGTTGGTGCTTCAGTTCTGATGTGCCGGGGAAGCCATAGTCTCTTATCTCAAAGCTCAAACCCAGTTGACAGCTCTAGAGTATTGGCTCTGCATCCTGCTGGGCTTAACTGTTTATGGCCACACCAAGACAAAAAAACAGTGACTGTTTTCTGGTTTCAAAAACTACGCATCAGTACTTCGGCTAACCCTGTTTACATTGCTTACAGCCAATTGCAGGAAAAAGGAAACAGCCAGCTCTGTGCATGTCAGTACACAGATATGGCCGAGGTTAGCCAAAGTGGAGGTAATTGCTCTGTATTCAAGGACAGCCATCCAGGTGGTCCTCTACAAGAAGGGAGACAAATTTTAAGAGGATGTTAAGACCTTCTGAGTTTAATACCAGCCCAGGATAAGGATGCCCAGGTCTAAACACGAAGGGAAAATGCAGGTGATTTATACAAAATAAGTCCCTAGGAATATACCCACTGGGCTTCTGCAACTCTTGGCTGACACCAACCCTAAATATCATATCACTGACTCTGCAGATTTGACCTCCATGTGGGCTTTGGATGACATGACAGTTCCTTTAAGGGCCATAAAAGGTCAAAAGTCTACCATCTGAAGGAGGAAATGAGTCAAGCAGCTCACTAGCAGAAGTCATATGTTCATTGCTGCCTTGAGTCCTTCTTATTGGCTGGCTCCCACTCTGTGAATTACACCTTGTATTTTTTCTTGGAAATGATCACTGAAGCTAGGTGGGTGACTCTTTCCTCCCTCACTGCTTCATGTGTATCCCTCTATAAGCTCCATGCGGAATGGAAGAGGATGACCACCCCTGACAGTGGAGGAACATTTCCTCAGTCAGAGGTTTATGAGTAGCTGTGCTCCCTTGTTAGAACCTTTGAAAAAACTTTTGAGTAAGTCATTGATCATACTGCAACTCTCAGGTATCTTTCTCAGTCCTTTATTTAAGACATCAAGAACCTGGACAAGATCCTCAACCTGGTAACAGTGTGATGAAACTATAGTTTAAACTACACAATGAATGTTTACAAATTTTAAAAATGGATTACAATAAAAAAATGCACTGCCATTTATCTCCCCTCAAAATATTCTTCTCACTCACTTACACACTTATCCCATTATTCATGCCACTTTCTGCAGTAGTTCTGGAAGTCCTCTTTCATGAGTACCTTGTCATGGCTGCCTTAAGGTTCTGAACCATTTCAAAACATTTATGAAAAGTCTTGTCAAATAAAAACATTATACTACGCCCTCATTCACCTTATCTGCCAGATGATCTGACTATGCAACTTGTTGCTCTTTCCAAAGATAAAATGACCATGAAAAGCAAATATTTTGAAACAATACAGGACATTAAGGCAGCCGTGATAGCACAGCTAAAGACACACATGAAAGAGAACTTTAGGACTGCTTCAGAAAGTGGCAAGAACCACGGGATGAATAAGCTTCAAGTGAGGAGAAATATTTGGAAGGGAATTAAGGGCAAGGTGTTTTTTTACTGTGATTTAAAAAAAATTAGACATTCACTACATTTTGTATCACATCTCAGTAATGTCACACTGTCATTATTTGAAGAAAAATATCAATTGAAGAAGACTAGAACTGGGAGCGTCAGTTAGTGTGCTGTAGATAAGATGCTTTCGCGAGGAAGCAAAGATCAGTCTCGTCTGTGAAGGAAATCTATGAACTAACAGGGTTAAAACAAGCAGGTTTAAGCATTTGAGGGAGAGGGAGTTATGTGAAGAAGCCAGCATAACTGGGAGCCCACAACAAAAGGAATAAATGACAGAGGTGAACCTAGAGAGAGAGGGTCAGATCATGGCAGACCTTGTAGATTTCAATAAATACTTCATTCAGTATCAACTGCTAGCTTTTCTTTTAAATGAAGCACTCTGGATATCTCACTGGAATGTATTCACAGAAGAGGAAGGCAACAAAGCTTGCAGACAGATCAGTGAGAAGCTGTTATGTGGTATGCACTTGGTTAGAGTACACACTAGCCGAGACGTACAGAAGTAGAGCAGTTTGAAAGGTATTTCATAGTGATCGAGTGTCTGTGGAAAAGGGAAGAAAGAGATTCCAAGAATTACTCCCAGATTTCTGGCTGTTTGCAAAATGTTGATTACTGGTTAGAGAACAATGGAAGCAGAACAGGATGAAAGGAGAATAAAGGCAAATAATAAA